GGGGGTGTCTGAAGCACAGACCCCCAAGCAGCGAGACGAAGGTATAGGGGCTCCAACCAGCGGTTCAGGGGGAGGGGAGCAGAGCCTCTCCTCAGAGGGGGTCTGAAGGGGAAGGTGGGGGACACGGAGGGAGAGCAGGCTCTATCGTTGGGGGGCGCGGAGCACAGCTTCAGGCCTGAACCTGGCGCGCTATGGAACCCAAGGATAGTCACGTACTGAGCACCTGCTGTGAGTCTGTCCCCTCTGTGGGCACTTTGCAGGGGAAGACACTGTGGTCTGAGGGGTTGTCCAGGGTTCCCTGAGAGCAAGCGCGCTGGAGCCCAGGTCCGGGAGACAGCACCTACACCCGCGGCTACCGCGTCCCCCGCGTAACAACGTCACCTGGGTGGTGGGCGGTGACCAGCGGGACGTAAATTCACAACGCGGGGATCCAGTGACCTGCTGCAGCCCTCCGAACCCACCGCTGCGGGGCTATTTTGCAAAGGATGACATATGTACACCTGGGCGGTCTGGTCGTCCCTCACAGGGAGCGGTGAGCCGGGCCCGTTTGAGCCGCCTCTGCCCTCCTGGGGGCCGCGGGGTTGAACAGAAGGTAGCACACAAGGTGTGAGGCGAGCGTCGGCCCAGCGCGGCACCACGAGGCGGCCCGGCTCCCTCCCTTCGGTGACTTGGACTGACGCCCGGAGACAGGACACCCACCCACCCGCGTCCATCCATCGCAGGCCGCCTGGGCTGCTGTGACAAAATATCACCGACCGAGTGGAGGCTGGAGATCCAAGGTCAGGGTGCTAGCACGGCTGCGGGAGGGCCGTCTTCTGACCTCACATGGTAGAAGGGGCCGGGGGCTCCGTGGGGCTTCTTGTGAAGGGCACTGATCCCCACCTCCTAACACCATCACCTTTGGCGGGGAGGGTTCAAGATAGGAATTTGGGGGGGTACAACACTCAGAGCACTGCACCACCCACATCCGCCTGGCCGGCCAGCCGGCCCATCTGACGAAGTGCCGGAGAGGAGTCATGACAAGAGCCTTGACAAGAAAAAACCACCACTGGGTGTGGCAGGAGCCGGGTGACAGGCACGTGGGCTCATTAGGCTATCCTGTCCGCTTCTGTGTATTTGGTTTGAAAAGTTGCGCAAGAGGAGGCTAAATAATGCGAGAAGGTGTGAAACGCGGGGGTGCGGGGTTGGGGTCTCAGGCAGGCAGCTCTGGAAGAACTCTCCCCGAGCCCCTCGAGGGCGAGGACCCCGGGCCTGGTGGGGCTCCAGAGCCCAAGCACTAGATTAGCTGGGGGCCAAGTGGAGCAGCACCAGAACGCTGCCCCCGGGATCCAGAGAGAGAGAAATTTCTAGCGGCGACCACCGTCACGCCGTTCACGATCAGGCAGCAGCCCCACATGGGAGGTGACGCACAAGGACCGGGGGTCGGGTCTGGAAGATGAAGGACACGGAAGGCTGGGGGACCCGTCTGCAGGAGTGAGGACACGCACACACGGACACCCCGCCCCTCCCACAGCCCCGGACACCGCCCCTCCCTGCCTCTCTGTCCTCACGCTCTCCTTCACGGGACACCCGCACACGCCCAGCCCGTGGGGTCTCGGCTCTCGGAGGTGACCACACACACCGTCTTAAATAACCACCTATTTAATGCTTCGCAGAACAAAACCATTCTGTACTACGAGGATCACTGGAAGCCTGCAGCACCGCAATCTTCGTCTCCGATCCGGTTTAAGCCCCAGGCAACCATGCCTTGCGTGCTCGGCGATTTTGGCAAACGGTGTGCAGTCACCAACATTTTCATACATTCAGCGTCTCCCAAATCTAAGCGAAATGGAGCACAGCCCGCTATCCCTGTGCGGCGAGTGGAGAGAATCGGCTAAGACAACCACGGCTGAATTACGTTCTAAGCTCGAGGGAACATCTACTCTCACCCGGGCCACCTGCCGGGGTCCTCGCGAGGCTGCCCGGTCCACCGCGGGACGACAGCCAGCAGAGACTCTAGACCTTTCTAAAGATGGAGGTGCCACCGCACCCCCTCTGGCAGCGGGCCAGGCCGCTCTTCTGGGGAGAGCACACCCACCCACCCCGCGTCCACCGGAGCCCCCATTGCGCTCCAGGCACCACGCCTTCGCTCTCTCGCGATGGGAGTTAGGACACAGCCTTCCGGTGCGGCCCTGCTCTGGGCAGGAGAGCGCACTTCAACTCTGCTTTACTAAAAAAGCCTCTTTTGATCCATAATCCGCCACCCCAACCCCCCCAACCCATCCAGAAAATTATCCTTTTCTGAGTCAGAGACATTGCTTGAGGGCAGGTTTAAAGTTTGCTGTTCTTGTGAAACTGGGCCACGAGGCTGAGCACCTGCTCGGAAGCCTTGATGTTCTTGGCGCAGAGGTAGCTGGTGCTGTTGGCGGCCGTCTCCTCCAGGTAGTACCGGTAGTTGACCATCAGGCCGCAGGAGCCGGTGACGCCCTTGAGGCTCGTGTCGGCCAGCCAGTTGAGGCGCCACAGCACAGCCCCGTTCTGCAGGTGGAAGTTTGCCACGGGGTTCAGGGCGTAGCCCCGGTGCTTCTCTCCGTACAAGTACCAGGCACAGAGCCTCATCAAGGGGGCCTGCAGCACCCTGACCAGCTTCTCAGACTTCACCCACTCGCTGCTGCTGAGCGAGACCTTGAGGGTCTCGTTAACGGGACCGCCTAGGATCTCCGAGATTTCTTTACATTCGGAATCTGTGAGCAGTTCACTCCTCCCGTGTTCCTTTGCTTGTGAGTTCAGGAGCCCCAGAAGCCACTTGGTGAAGCCGGGGATAGGAGACAGACTTGAGAACGTCCCGAGATGAGGAAACTCTCTCTGTAGGGCACGGTGGGTGGGGAAGGGAAGGTGGAGAGAACACACACACGTAACTCAGCAGGCATGGCACCGAGACGGAAACGCCTCTCCACGTGTCATTCGCGCACCATTAAGCGCTGCATGTCGCTCTGTGGTTTACCACATGCCCTCTGGGGTGCATTTTCTCCTTTCGAGGGGCATTTATGAAGAACCTGACATATGCCAGGCCCTAGAGATACCCTGAGTCCCCAAGGCGAGCCTCTACGACGGCTGCCCTGCCCACGCCACCTGTCAGAATGGCCAGTCAGGGGCCCGGCCCGACATGAGCAGGGGCTGCTGCTGAGAAGTGGGGCACGCAGTCCTGTGACCGCATCTCCGGAGCGTCTGGTCTGCCGTGCCCCTCCCGGGGACTGCTCTGTGGCCACACAGCCCGGCCTGCCATTTTACCCGGTGACCGTGTACTGAACAAATCATCGCTTGCAGAGCTAGCCCACAGTGGGTGTGGACTGTGGGCCAGAAGGCGGGGGGGCACGGGGGTTTCTCCATAGCAGACAGGACGGTTCATGTTCAAATTACAGCGACATCTCAAGGACATGTTTTTTTTTTTTTAAAACCCAGCATTTTCT